TTCATGCAAGGTGCAAAGCGATATTGATTTGGTACCAGAGAGTTAAGCAGCGCCAGGTATATCCTCGACAGTCGTCGGATTTCTACCGTCTACGAGCTCCTGTTGCTTCGATTCCTGTCAACCGGCGTTCTTCTCCCCGCAGCATGGCCGACGAACACTCCCACTCAAGGGTTGAGCTCTACGACTCTGGTCTGACGGTACCCTCGGACTCGGAAATTTACTCTGCCAATCATGAGGTTTCATCGCCTATGTCGACATCCAGTTCGCCCTTGATTCTGTATAAGCCTCCGTCGATCTGGGGCATCTTGCGGGGGGCGGCGATCAATTTGATCCTCCCTTTTGTCAACGGGTTGATGCTGGGATTTGGGGAATTGTTTGCACATGAGGCCGCTTTTCGTCTTGGCTGGTCTAACACAAAGGTACGCCCCATGAAGTCGCTTTGAGGGGTACAGTATCTGTCTCCCTGCGATTATCCGCCAATGCACATTGACTCATCTCCAACGAGACTGGACTAATCATTGACTCCATCTAGATTTTCCCTACTTATCGACGGTCAAGGCCCATGGGACCAGGCATGGAGATTCGCGACATTCCATCGCGGCGCCAGCCTAGAGCCGGAAATCTGCAAGACACTACATCATTGGAGTGATTGCGCGCCTTCAGACACCAAATATAGATTTCTCTCTGCGCAAATTCTTGATATCCAACAATCGTGATCGATTAGTCGTTTGTTAATTTCCGTGTCTTCAGCATGGGTTGCGTATATGTGTACATAGATTCCAAAAGGCACCAGCAGTAGGTCAGATTGGACGGCGTCGGGCGAAGCAATTCGACTTCTGCATATCGAAGACACGGTCAATCTTTTGCTGTGCATTGCGAGTATGGAAATTTCATCTAATTCAAATGATATTCTACCCGGACGATCCTCTTCCTCTCTTGTGCCCCAGGTAGTATTTGGACGTATTCTGGTATCAGGATCAGGAACAAACTCCGGCCGCCCGGCAGAAAGCAAGTCTTGGCGCGAAAAAGTCCAATCTCCGCGAGTCGGCAGCGGATATAGCCGTTGTTTTTCACTAAAACGCCGTCGCTCGTGAACCACTAGGTATCTCCTGCGGCCAAATATCACAATGCTGGCAGGGGCTGGTTTGAAGGGGCGTGGTGGCATTCCCACCATTGCTCGACAACATTTGACTGCTTTCCCTCGCTCCAGCCGATCGGTTTGTCCCCCGATATCCTCTTCTCCGCCTGCAAGCAAGTAGACGCCTGGCTGACTTGAGTCGGTATACTGCAGATCTCTTCGTTCAGACCGCAGAGCTCGAGATCCCCTGTACGCTATGGAAGGCCTACCCAGACACTTTCCGGGAAATTATCATGGAAGCCCGCCGCCTCCATACCCGGAGTTATGTCCGCAAGATTCAATTCGACATCTTCCGCAACCGATGCCACTGCGAGTAAGCATTTGTCGGACGCTTCTACCGATATGGGTGCACCTGAGCTTTCTGATCTGTCTGCCGCTGATCTCAGCTCGATCCCAGAGCACATCGGATACCTCAAAGACCTAGGGCTCGACTACGGCTGGGGCCCGTCGTCAATCATTCAGTTTGTCATTGAACATTTCCACATGTGGGGAGGCTTGCCCTGGTGGGCAAGTATCGTGGGAACCGGTCTTCTCCTCCGATTAGCACTTCTGTATCCTACGCTGGGCGCTGTGGACACCTCGACCAAAATGCTCAATGTCAAGCCCATCACGGAACCTCTGCGTCAGCAGATGATCCTGCGCGGAAAGGATGGCAACCAAATGGAAATGATGAAATTACGAGCCGAAATCCAGAAGATTCACCAGGAGCAAGGTATCAAGGCTTGGAAGTCCTTCATTCCCATGCTTCAGATTCCCTTTGGTTTTGGCTGCTACAGAGTCGTCAAGGGTATGACAGCCTTGCCAGTGCCAGGGCTGACCCTGGAATCCGTTGCTTGGCTGAAGGATCTTACCGTTGCCGACCCGTACTTCATACTTCCCGCTGCGTCGTCTTTGTTCATGTACCTGAGCATCCGGGTAAGTCGACGTTCATCCTCCGGGCTACTGGCTTGATTACTAACTCATAACGTCTTCGTCCTGTGTAGAAAGGAGGCGAAAACGGCGTGAACCAGCTCCAGGGCACAACATTAGGCAGGCTCTTCATTTTTGGGTTGCCTGCCATCTCCTTTCTCTTCATGTCCTTCTTCCCCAGCGCCCTCCAGCTCTATTTCGTGACGACTGGTCTATTTGGTCTGGGCCAAGCCTACCTTCTCAGCTCTGACAGCTTCAGAAAATCGATGAATATCGCCCTCCCTGTAAAACAGCCTAAACCCGGACAGTCCCCGGGTCATGATGATCCGCAGCAGAGCAAGTCGATCCGCATGCTTCGTGAGCATCTGGAGGCCGAAAGAGCCAAGTTGATTCAGGAACAGCACAAGTCGCCTGATAGTGTGGAGATTAGCTTTATTGATCGCGCCTTGAACAACCTGAAGGAAGCCAAGGACAACATCAAGCGTGAAACGGTGGAGAAATTGGACGCCGTTCGTGGTCAGGGCCCCGTGAAGAACGCGGACGGTACTATTGCCGAGCCTCCTCGGCTTGGCGAGAAGGATCTCAAGTTGGCTGCCGACTACGAGAGGAGAAGGAAGGAAGAAGAGGATTGGAAGCGGGAGGAGAGGAATCATGCTCGCCGCGAAGCTCACCTGAAAGCCTTGGAGCTTGAAAGAGAAAAGGCGCGCTCGGCGTTCAAGGTCAAGCAAAGGTGAGCATCGGGGTGATTTTTCTTTCGTGATTTTACTGTATCAGGTGTGACGGTCTATCTGCAACTGTACAATATGAGGCGCTTTAATCTTCCTGTGCTATACGACGTATTTTCCTATACGGTAAAGGATCTTTGGTTGGAAAACAGTATCTGTCAATTCGTTATCACAATTACCTGGTTAAAGAGGCTACTTTGTCAGCAGCTCTGGCAGGTCACCAAAAGCTTCGAATTTAACCTGCAGCAACAAGCAGGCATCTTTCATTTTGAAACCATACGAGATACCACGAAGGCCAATGCCGACATCCTCACCTGAGACGCAGGCTAAAAAAGGCTTGTCAAAATGCGCAAGAGCGAAATGACGCAAGAAACAGTGGCTATTCCTAAGATCGTCACCTCAAGAAGACAAGACCAACGACCACGCCTATTCAAGGTTCTCATCTACAACGGGCTCGTGCTCATGCTCATGCTCATCCGACGAGGTCTCAGTCTGTGCGAGTTCCGAAGCAGCCTCAACCCGAGCGAGCCTCTTCTACTTATTGTCAATCAACTCCATTTTTTGCAAGTCTGGGGTTCAGATGCCTACCTCGATGATTAACTTGATCTGCGGGTAGAAGACCTGGTAATCTTGTTCGGCACTCATCTCATAAGGAGTTAGCCCTGGATCCTGTCAAATTCTCGAAATTGTGGCTGTATACGTACCGGGTTCAAAACGTCTTTGAAGCTGTCCAGAGTGAGGAGATCCCCCAGCTCTTGATAATATCTCACCATCCCGTCTCGGAAGGACTTGAGGCGCTTGGTACCCTCATCAAAGGTCATAGGGTTTTGCATCGCACGCTTTTCAAGTGTGTCTTGAGTTGCGTACAGATGAAAAGCTGACACCACAGTGAAGGTCTAGACAATCGCAAGTCAACGTCCGAGAGCAAGGCGAATGGACCGTACAGAGCCAAGGGTCACGGGTCACTCACTTCGTGCAGCAGAGTGAAGTCCTCGGAGCAGTGTGGCCATCCGTCAATGATGAAGGTAGTCGCTCCAAACTCCATGTGTCTCTGGATTTCCATTTTCACGAGACGAAACAGTAACTCGCTCGGCACAATTCCCTGGGTCTCAATGGCCTGCACAACCGCCAGCCAAGCGAGGTATGGACCTGTCTCCCCCAGACGCCGGATCGTCTGATCGGGACAAATGTGAATGGATCCAAGCTCTGCGGCCACGTTTGCCGCGGCAGTGCTCTTTCCCGCAGCTGGGGGCCCTATGGAGATACAGATCTCATTAGTTGGTAACTATCTCACCAGACTGGGAAGGCTCTTGAGCTTGCACTTTGGAATGAGAGATCTATCTTACCGAAGAGAAGAATGAGCTTTGCACTCTTGACGTCCACGTCGTCACTGGGAGCGGCGTCGTTCGGAACCTCAACCGGGATGAGAATGCCTCCACGGAGATAGGACTCTTCATCGTGCGTCCAGGTGTCTCCATTCTTCGAGGCGAGCTCGGGCAGAGGATGTTCCACGCGCTGGACGCAGGTCCTTTTCGCCAGGGGAATATCATTCTTCTCACTCTGGCTCTGGGCTGGTTCCTCTATCCCATGGATTTCCTCAATCGTATCAGACATTTTTGATAGAGGGCAACAAGGAAATACAATACGATGAAGAAGAAGACAAAGAAAAAGGCGATTCTAAGTTAAAGGCCTGTTTGGATGTGTTGAGCATGCAAGAATTGAAAGAGACAAATAAGACATCCAGGAAGAAGAGATGAAGATGAATGAGCAGAACAGGCTAGGATGTTTCATTCTCCCATCTTCTCTATGAAAGAAAAGCCTTCACTGCCATGGAGAACCGTCAAATCAGGCGAGACGATTTCGCTGAGTCGTTATATGCTCCCATCGCATCGTCAGGCAACGAGCGTAATTGTTACGCCGAGCCCAAGAGCTCTTCTTCCAGAACAAACCGATGTGTTCTGACAGAATGAGACAGAAGACTACTTCCCGTCTCCCTGCGCACTTATCACTACAGCATAGCAGCGTGCAAATCCTTCATCCTAAAGCGTTCAGTCCTGTGAGCATCATCATCACAACTTCAGCTCTATCACACCAACCCAGAGTTCGTCACCAACTGTTACCTCACACGCGTGTTCTCTTTAAGGGTAAGCACTTGCGAAGCACCCTCAGCCCCGTAAGAGACACTGACCTAACAAGCACCAGATACAATGAACCATACATCTACCGAGCTAATCGCTCTCAAGTCCCCGATGACCAAAAACGCCAGCCTGGTCTTCTTCCTTCATACAGCCGCCAAGATCATCATCCTCCTTGCCATCGTGGATGTCCTGCGAGTGCTCCTCCGTCAGGTACAGGTGTACCTCGACCAGCATGGACACGAGCACCACGAGATCCACGGCCCGCAGAGAGTTCGTCTCGTCCGCCGCCGTCGCCGCTTCGACGATGATGTTCTTGGATTTCCTTTCTAGGCCTGGGCTGGCAGTGGCTCGTCAAGTCCGGCTAGGTAAGTTGGGTATGTCTTTGGTAGAAGAGGTCTTTGGCTGACTGTCTTGAGGATAGGTTGATTGACTTGGCACTAATGGATTGTGGTCATTCGGAAGGCTTTCGTGATGTAAGGAGATATTGCAGGTGCAATCGGGTATCAATCGTTCAGGGATTTTGGAGAACAATGTGTCCCGCTGGTCTCTATCTGTTTAGAGATGAATGCAAGCATATGACGATCGAGTAAGAGTAATTTACTTGCCTGTAGTGTGCCTATAAATTTAGGGCGGAGCCAGTCCCATTTGATGGCGGAGAACAGCCATGCCGCCCGAGCCATCGTTATAAAATATTAGGGTATGTGTATGTACAATCCGAAGTGCTTTTATCATGTCATCATGTCAAAAAGTAAGAGAAACCGAGGAAAGCAATACTATCGGAAGATTCGTCTTCCTCCAGCACTGCCCGCATTCCAGGTGACTGATCCCCTCACTCCCAAGTTGTCCATACTCAACCCCGAGAAACCGACACCACCGCCCTCGCCATCACGCTTGTACCGCCGTAATGCCTCGCGAAGATGGGAAGGGAGGAGCTGGCCCCGGTGAGGATTAGGCGGCGGTTTGAATTCCCTTTTCGGTCGTGCTGGAGGGGGTTGCTGTTCTTGCTGCTGCGGAAGGCCAGATATAGAAGGCGTGGCCGGTTGCGAGCCCTGTTGTTGCGGCATGGGAGAGAGTGAAGGAGGGATTGGGGTTGAGCGATTGCTGTCCGAATGCTCCCTCTTGACAGGCGGCTGGGGCGGGTTCTGTCCCTGAACCCCCGTCGCCGGCGTAGCGGAAGCCGCTGCCCTCGCCGCTGCTTCAGCCGCTCTGGCCTCCGCCTCGGCCTCTTCAGCCTCAAAGGCAGCGCGCGCAGCTTGATCATGCGCGATAGCCCATTCGGCCTGGACGGTCCTCGCCTTCTCGATGATCTCGCCCGCAAAGACCTTGGTGAAACCGTTGATGGTTGTCACGACACTGGCGGGAACAGACTGGGACAGCGCGTGGTTGACAATTCGCCGCAGCGTCTCCTTGCGCAGCTTGGCCCGTTTGAACAGATCGTAGCGCTCCGACTGAATAGGATTGAATGCATCCACCAGTAAACTGTGTTCCAAGAATCCAACGTCAGCCTTTAGAAGCACACTGGGTCAGTAACAGGGCGAGAAACATACGCAAGATTCTTCTTCTCGGCTTCCGTATCTGTTACCCCTTCCTCACCCCTCAGCATCTCCCCCTCATCATCAAAGTCCTCATCCTCGTCGCCATCCTCCCCGGCCGCATCCCCCCTCGCCGTCCCACCAGCCCGAACAGACATCCCATCCGCATCCACAGACCCCAATCGCGTCTCCCCGCGCAAACTCGCCGCATCCTCCCGCTGCTCCCGCTCCCGCTCTTTCTCGGCTTTACTCTTGCGCCCACGTTTCCCCTTCTTGGCCGCCCCCAGGAATACCCCGTCCGCGCTCGTCCCGCCCAGACTACCTGTGAAACTGCCCGTTACACTCCCCGCGTCGCTAGTGGCACTGAATGCGCGCTGGTCATTATCTATACTGGCGGGGAAGGATGTCTGCCGAAGGGGGTGCATGCGTGGACGCTTCGGGTTGGTGCCGAGAGGCTGTGAGGCGGAGGAGGAGATGGAGGGCCGTTTGAGGGGATTTGTCGGCGTTGGATGAGGTGGCGGTGATGACATTGTGAGGGGTGTGGTATTAGAAAGTAGGCAAAAGAGTCAAGTTTGTGAGCTCCTGTAGGGACTCTCGGTTGCTTGGTCGATGCTCGCCTTGACAGAGGTTGCTCGTTTCAGCCGGCCGTCTGGCTGACTATGTTGTTCCTGTCTCTTCCACCGACTTGACCGTTAAACGCAAAGAGAAAAAGCAAATCTATAATCTTGCTGTACTTAATTATGAACAGTTCGCGGTCAAGCTTGGGCGCAGCGAGCGGATGGAAGTTGGAAGGTATGCTGGAGCTACGAAGTGATCCCAACCAGAAAGAAACTCCGGACCGATCTGGCAGGTCTGCCGATCCGTAATCCATGCCAGTTGGCGCGGGCCATTTATCTTCATCACCACACTTCACTACCAGTCTACTATTTTGGATTCAGATATATATTCTGGATAAAATATACACACATACCAAAGGAAGAATGTATACGGATTATAATCAGATGTTCATTGCAAACGCTCGAGTAGCTCAATGCAAAATCACAACAGTAAGGACAGTACATTGGGAGTCAAGGAGCTTTGTACACGAAACGAACGCTCAAATTCTCGAAGAATTATCTGCAAACTCAAACAGGGGAAGCAAAGGCTATTGACTGTTCAACGAATATTGGGCAAAAGAAGAAAATATGTAGAATGCGACTATCTCCATCTCAAAAGAATGTCCGACCAAATTCCGCAAGAAACGATATCTCGACGTGCTATGGCTTGTTCTTTCAAAATCTCTCCTCTCCCAGCCGAGGGGCCCCCCCTTTCCAGTCCAGGCGTTCATAGTAGCGGAACACAAGCTCATAGCCGTCGAGGTCGTGGACAATCCGGTCCACCCGGCGATATCCCTCCACATGTTCCATTTTGGCAGTCCGACGAGCGGCCAGGTACTTGGCTTCCTTCCACTCGTCTTCGATCTGGCTCAGCGCTGGCTTGGCCTCGAAGAGAGTGATGCTGAAGCGGCCAGGCTTGAAAATGTCGACCACTTGCTTAATGATTCCAGCAGTGGTCTGGCCGTTCTGCGAGTGCGGCACGTTGGTCTCAAAGGACGCATACGAGCAATGCGGCTCTGGAGTGACGTGCACCGTGAAGTAGTGGGTACCGGTCTTCCCTTCAGGAGGCGGAATCACGCCGTTGGCGGAGAAGCCACATGGTGTGAACAGGTACGCATCGATGCGCGATTCGGGATACTTCTCCTTAGGATACACATCGGAAAGACCACAAGCTTCAGAAACGACGGTCCCGAGCGCGTGGCCCTCGGTAGTCAATTCCGGAGGCAGAACCCGGCTTCCTTCCGAGTCCAGGTCGCTCATATCGGAGGAAGTATTGCTGAACACATCGACATGGTCACTCTTCTCCGCATCGAAGTTGCGATAACGGGTCTCCGCAACAGCGGTCGCATGCTCGAGGTAGAACTGCTTCGCATTCTCCTCGTCCAGATCGGTCATCAAGACTTCCAAAGTTTCATCCTCGGTATCTGCCTGCAGAGCAGCGCCCTGAGGTACGCTGAGGATCTTAGTCTCCGTTTCTGCAAACTCGGTCTTCGCTCCCGGGCTCGTTGGCGGGGTGAGCATGGTATGAGGTTCAGTCAGGTACAAGTACCAATGCTCGCCGTTCATCTTGCCAATCATGTAGGCGCTACCGTTGAGGAAGAGCCTATCCATAGTCCGCACTTCATCCCTCCAGCTGCGGTGAGGGCCGCGCTGGCGGTCGGGGAACAGGAAGTTCTTTCGGCTGTAGAACACACGGTAGGGTGCGGCGGCGACGGAGATTCCGCGAGAAGGAGCGGTAGACTTGGGGAAGCCACCGAACAAAGCGGCAATCTCGAGAATGCGTGGCAGACCGGACAGAAGAGTGGTGGTACCACAGGTCTTCAGGATAAGCTTGTGAGGCCAGACGAACATGCTGGACTCGGAGAGCAGGTAGGCATCCACATCCTCCGACGAGACAATAGAAAGGACCTGACAATTGACGAGATCCAGCATGTCCTTCCAGATCTCCTCGGGCACAGCTTTCAAACCGGCAGGCTGCGCCGGACCTAATTCCTGAGCGGAAGGCGCGAACCACACCTCCAAGAGTTTCTCTGGACCTATGGGCTGTCAGCCTCTGCCCAATGCTGCTTTCGGACACGTCACCGGGCGGAAACATACCTTCAAACGCATTGGTAGAATCAAGATCCTGCGTTGCCTCGTAATTGATAGTCAAGGACGGAGTTCCGGCAAAGGAAGACGGCGAAGCCGTGTAATTCTTGGGGATGCCGATGTAGACCATTTCCGCTGATTGACGTAATGAACTGAGAGACGTATGCCGGTGCGAGACCGATTATTGAAACGAGGAGCAACGCAGTGGTGTATATGTAGTTGACCGTAGACACAGAAGCCTAGGAAGCACTATCTGCTGCCCAGACGAACAGGGGGGCTATGTCCGCCTGAGAGAGAAGGCCCTTTGTCGCGATAAAGAGAATGGCACACAGGCCAGATGGGCGAAATTCAACACAGGCCCGAAGGGGATGCTAGGGAGGGCGAAAGGACAGGGAGAGGAGGAAAAAGCCTCTTGAAAAAGGAATTGTGACTATATGGCGAGCACCCTCGTACTGAAGATACCGATACCGGTCAAAGTATCGGGTCTAGCAGACGAGAGTATCTGCTTTTTTTGGAAAGAAACGAGAAGATAATTGGAAGCTTGGAAGGAAATGACTCTGGATGTGAGTCGTGTTATCGAGGCCTGGAGGAGCAATTGAGTCAGTTCAGCTCACTGTGTGCCTGACGAGGGGGTCGTGGCCATAATGCGATAGGCAGCGTCCAGCGCATGAAAATGGCACATAAGGAGAGGGGCTTACTTTGCTGGCTTAGACAAGAATCGCAGCAAGTCCTTTGGGTTCATGGAAGGCAAAGTCAGATCGAGCTCAAAACAGCACGACGTAGCGCGAGGCCACAGCTCTGGACATCTGCGAGAGCAAAGATAGACTGCAAGCTCCGAGGATGTGGTCGCCTTTTTATGACGGAAAATTAGAGGACGGCAACGACAGAGAAATACGAGGGCTATAAGTTCCTCACAAGGTCAGGGGTATAGAATCGCCGTGACTGTTTTTGTCGGGCAGAGTAGGCAGACGTTGGAGGTTGACGGAGGTTATTATTTATAGAGGTCTGTGGGCAGAGCAAAAAAGAGCGGGAGAACGAGGAGGAAGAAAAAAAAGTTGGTTCGTGGGGCGCAACTACCGCTAAGACTGACACTACTACGAAGATTGGGCTGGAAGGAAGAAGACTCCAGTCACCAATCAAGGAAGCATGGAAGCTTTAGACGATTCCTTTGCGAGTCAAAGCGTGAATGTTTTGAATATATTACAATTGATAAATTGGATTGTGCAGAGTGTACTCCTGGAATTCGTTGGTTGTCCTTTTATGACTTGACGTCGGATTTTCGTCTGTCCAAATTGGGCAGCCAGAGTGAGTGCCTGAGGCACTCAACTAACTGTCGTGCGACACAAAGTTTCTATGCTGATTATGGTAGGCGGTGAAGCACAGAGTGACAGTGATGACGTCGCCAGTCTTAGTCTGACCAGCCCCGTTTCAACATCACTATACCAGAGCTATGACTGATATGAT